TCCAGTAGCAGACTTGCTTTTCTCTCAGCCTTCCCTCTATCGAAGTCTTGTTGGTGCCTTGCAATATCTAACTATAACCCGTCCTGACTTAGCTTTTGCTGTCAACCATGCTTGTCAGTTTCTTCAAACCCCTCTCACCAGTCATTTTGCTTTGGTTAAGAGACTACTGAGGTATCTTAAGGGAACTCTTTATCTTGGTCTCCAATTTAGTCCTGGTCCTCTTACTTTACATACCTTTTCTGACTCGGATTGGGCTGGTTGTTCTCTTGATCGACGATCTACCACTGGTTACTGTGTATTTTTAGGTCCAAATCTCATCGTTTGGTCAGCAAAGAAACAGCCCACTGTCTCCAGGTCTTCTACTGAGGCTGAATACAGAGCCCTTGCTCAAACGGCTGCTGAACTTAGCTGGATTGGTATGCTACTCTCTGATTTGTCCATCTCTGTGTCAGCTCCTACCCTTTGGTGTGACAACATGTCTGTTATCTCCTTATCCAACAATCCTGTCTTTCATGCCAGATCCAAGCATATTGAAGTAGATTATCACTATGTTCGTGAACGAGTTGCAACCAATAAGTTGCACATCCATCACATCTCATCCATGGATCAGCTTGCTGATTTGTTTACTAAACCTCTTGCCTCCTCTCGTTTCCTTTATCTTCAGACCAAGCTTCTAGGTTATCACTCTCCCATCAGCTTGCGGGGGCATGTTAAGGAGCTCAGCCAAAGCCAAACAGCAGCAGCACATCATCAAAGCAGGGTCACAGCAGAGGAGAGTCACACAGCAGAGAAGAGTCACGTGTCAAGCTCCAAATAGAATTAGTTAGATTAGTTAGATGGTTATGAATTAATCAGAGTTAGGTTATATTTCAGTTACATGTAAACTGTAGCTCAATAGTAGTTACATATTCATTTTCTCTATAAATATGTATAAGCATTATACTCAAAATTAATGAAATAAAAACAGATTCAGTTTTCCTTTAAAGATTAGTTCTTCATCTGAACTCTCTTCCTCACTAGAAATTTCATATAAGATTTCTTCTTCATCAGAAATTTATTCTCCATATATTATTTCAAAATCTTGTTCTTCAAGGCCTTTGATCATTTTCTTTGCACTTTTTTCCCTTTTTGGGCATTCGAGTGCATAGTGACCTTCTTCGTTACAAATGTAACATTTACAAGTTTTCTTTTTTGAAATACTTGTTGGTTTCTTTTTTCGAATATACTTTTCCTTTTTTGAAAAAATTTTGTTCTTCTTTCAAGGTTTCTATTTATATCTTCTACGTTTTTTGGAAAATCCTTTTCTTTTAGGAAATGTATTACAACCAATTTTTCAATTTTCTTTTTTAAAATTTTATCACAACATTTTTGACCATATGGTGAGTTAGAAATTTGATTTTTTATTTGTTTTTTCACCTTTGCTTCTAGACACCGATCTGCTATCAACCTTAGAACATAATTAATGCGAAAACCAAGATTATCATATTCTTCCTTCCCCATTTTTTTGAGAAAATCAGGATATGTTTTAATACATAACTCATCCCATGGATTAGGGAGTTTATGAAAAAATCGATCTAACCAAGGTTGATTTGCTGGTGGATTAATAAGATAATAATAGTTTTTAAAAGTTTGAACGTAATCTTCAAAAAGACAAATATTACATAATTCTAATTTAGTCAAAATATAATTTGCATCTGCTTGCAAATTAGTATCTCCTGCAAAATCACATAAATTTTCTTTTATGATTTTTACAAATTCAGCTAAAATTGTGTCAAGTGTGAGAAAATTTGTTAACAAAGCCGTTTTTTGACTTTTTTCAATTTTAGATTTTTCCCACTGTCTTAACCATTGCAACACATCTCCCTGGAGAGTTGCTGCAATATAATCAAGGAATTTTTCCTTTGACCAACTGTTTTTATAATTGGTAATAATGATGGACAAGGATTGTGCCCAATCATCAATTGATTGTGGTTGATCCTTAAATGGAACATGAGACAAGTCTAAATAAGTACCATTTTAAGCTATTGGATACTTATGATTATTATCTTTTCTAGATATTACTGGCTCAGGTGTAGGATTGGAGGTACTTCCAATGTTAGTATCATTTTTAACTTTATTTGTCTGAATAAAGTCAAAATTTTCTCCATCTCTCCTTGTGCCAAATAATTCGGGATCAATTGGCTCTTCTGCCTTTCTTTTCCCTTTATTTATTTCCGATGAAATGTCTTGATCTATTGTTTCTTCAGATGAGGATGATTGGCTGTCATCATTATTAGTTGGCATATTAATATCATAATTAAAGTGTTGTAAAAGGGTTTCATTTTCTAGATAAGTTTCTCTTATCTGATCTAGTAGCCTATTTCTTTCATCAATACCTAAGTCTAGGTCTTTATATAATTTTCTCCAATAATCCAATATTTTACCAATATTTTCATATTCAGTTTTATTATAGGTATTGGTTTGAAGTAACCATAATATCTTCTGTACCATAAAATAGCTTAGGGATGTAACTATCTCCTGGACTATTCATTTCATCATTGTTTATGAAGTATATAGTTTCTAATTTTGTCACCAAATTGTTTATTTGGTTTTCTGATTCTTCATTTAAATCAATATTTATTATAAAACCCAAATTGTCTATTTTAGATTCTATAAACTCAACTTTAGTCTCTAGATAATTTTGATTTATTTTTTGATTTTTATCTAATTTAGAAAACCAAGAACACATAATATCAGTAATATTATTTAAACTAGAACACACACTATTTATATTTGCAGATTCTTTAGTAATATGCAAACTATGATCATATTTATTATTAACATTATTTTTGTATTTCCAAAGCATATTATATCATCAGAATTAATTACCATTTTAGATTGTTGTTGGTACCTAAGACCCTCTTAGTGTATTATCTGGTGCCTAAAATCTCTCTTTATGATCTTACAGACTTAATTATGGCCAATAGTCAAAAGATATATGGGTTTTGACATACACTAAGCATATAGGTTTTACAACAACTATAAATGAAACAAATAATTATGAAGATATAAAATACAAAAGATACACAAAAAACTTAGACGAAATTTTTAATTTAAATTTTTTTTTTATATAACATAAAACACACCATACAAAATTATATATATATATATATCAAAAATTTATACATAGATAGAAATACTTACATAGCTTGATCTTACTTTCAAAAGCTCTTCACTAAGCTCTGATACCAATTACAAAACTAAAAAGGAAAGGAGCTTTTTTTTACTATTTTTATTATAGAATTATGGTGGAATTATGGAATTAAAGTAGAGAAATTAGAGACAAAGAAGGGAGCTCAAAGATGGAGAGAATATGGAGAGAATTTATATATATCATTATGTTGGCATAAAGGCCAATATATAGACTTACAATAAGGTGAATACAAACAAAAATATAACTTAATGCATATCTAACATATCTAACTTTGGAAGACTTTACGTCCAAAAGTTGCAAAATTTCTAACACTTTAGGCAAGCCTAGTCATAGGCTTTATGAAAAGTCTTCATAAAAGTAAATACAAAAAGACAAAATAGTTAAAGGAAAAACTACAATTATTTGTTCTGTGCTACACTTTTTACAATTATATACACTGATACACACTGTCTACTGTTGGACCTTTCAAATTGGGATATGTCTAGGCAAAATGCCTAACATAGGCAATATCAAGAGCCAATTGGAGTTGCTCTTAGGCCTCGTTTGGGAACCAACCCATTTAGTCAAAAAGTCAAAAAATTACTAAAAAAGCCAAAAAAACCAACAACCCATATTAAAAAGTCAAAGATTCTATTTTCTCTCTACTTTTTGCACATCTTTTCGTAAAAAGTTAAAAAATCATCCTAAACATACTAATTTTTTTTAACTCATATTTTAACTAAATAATTAAAAAATTACTAAATTAGTCTGTTCTCAAAGGAAGCCTTAATAAGATAGTACCAGATGACGCATTTTATCAAACAAATTATTTCATTTAGAACTTGGCTTTTACGCTGCTGATATGTTCCTCACACAGGAATCTTGTGGTGAACAATCAACCCTACAAATAAGTCAAAATCACCTGAATTTTATCATAATCATCGCTGCACCATTCCATATGAAGCAGTTTGATACAAACGGCATCAATCATAAAACCAATCTCTAACACAATGACTCCCAACACAGTGAAGTTCATTCTAATGTTGAAAAAGAACACTGCATAACAGCATTAATTTGTGAGCCGGAACTGCAAATTTTACCCCTTTTTTGTACCCCTCATCATGCATAGCCCACCACACCCTAAACTAACACCTGGCAGTTTAATTGTTAAACAACACCGTACCTCCCCAAACATCTATGAAGCTAAGTAGGGGCCCAATGGTAACATAAAAGCCCGCGAAGATATAGGAGGTGATCCAATATTCAGTATCCTTTTAAGGTTATGTTTGTTTGGATTTGTTTGGGTGGACATGAGTTTAAAATTGAACTAATATTCTAATAAAATTATTAATCCAATATTTGGTTAAATAATTGAAATACAGACTAACAATCCATTCGGATATTGTATCCCACATATGATGGACTATTCAATCCCACAGAGAGAGTGGGATATAAATTGGAAGACTAAGCAAAGTCTAGATTATTAGTCTGTCCTTCCTTATAATCCTAGCTCAATCTAAACATATGATAAGATACACAATCTAAAGAATTCGTAGTTCTAAGACTATTAATCATGAGAATGTTAATTCAACCTAATTCAGTCCGTCCAAACAAACATGACATAAGAGTACATGTCAACTAAGCCTCTTTGGAGGCCGAGAGCTTGATGGAAAATGAAAAACTGGAATGCTGTTCCAAAATAAAGCAGAGACAAATAGTATATGATGAGTTTCCAAGACCTATAGTAGTTTCTTATAATTTCTAGTTTTTAAAACAGACGAAGAAAAAAAAAAATTACGGAAACAATAAAATCAAATTGTAGATCAAGTACAAGAAGCAGCAGTGATGAGGCGTTATCACATTCCATAAGAAAATTCTATTCAATTAATCCACATTGAATAATAGAATAGATTGACGGAGTATATGAGAAGGAAAATGATGCCAGGCTGCAACCAGCTACATTATTTTTTACAGCCCACAACCATCAAAGTTCAAAGAAACCAATGCCGCCACATTCAACGGGCAAAATGTTTTAAGGAAAAAGAGATACTGTACTAGGTTCATTCTACCTACCTTATTGCTCTCCACCATACAAAAACAATTCCGGTTCTTCCTTTCAAGCAAAGACAATTCTAAAATCATGGCTTCAGAGCCAAAGCCAGTCCAATCTTAGCACTTTTTTCAATTGCCGTGGTGTCCACTTCCCCTGAGATGGTGAAGAGGGATTTTGGCCGCCATGCATGCTGGATGAGAGCACTTGCCTTGCCATAGCTGTTCACCCGAGCCTTCACCGTGGTTAGTGGGTCCAATGCATGCTGTGTTCCAATAGTGAGTGTGTTCTCATTCTTTGAAAAGCTACGTGTCAGCTCCGCACCAACAGCTGTATTGGTCAATGGGCTCACTGTGTGATAGTAGGAAGCGGTAACGGTATCACCTTTGTCATTCCTGTAACCATCAACAAAGATAACCCTCATCACACAGGAAAAGGCCATCAGCCTGGATGGAAATAAGCCTAAAACACCATCTAGACATCCAACTTATTACGTCAAAAGGTTCATTCAAAGCTTGTCCTTAGCTTTTTGGGATTTCACAACATAACCCAGCCTATATCCCAGGCTCTATAATTTTCATTTTACCAAAACTACTGACATAAATATATGAAATGAGCTTCATTCCTCTTGCCTAAGATACAGAGAACAATTTTCCAAAACTTTAGCAATACTAACTGAATGTCAAGTCAAAGATTTAGACAATCATCTAAAACAACTTGACTACCTCTAAAACCAATTTTAAACTCTGAAACTGTCTTTGATTTTTTTTTTTCACATTCTTTATAAATATTTTACTTTTTTGGTGCATCAAGATTAGGTCCTCTTAAAAGTATTATTATTAAAAATAAAATAAATAAGAGAGACAGAGAGAAACGAAAAACTCAAAAACAGTGTCCAAAAACTAAACCAAACAAGTTTCAATTTCTCCTTTATGGATGAAGGAGATACTCACAGTGCCAAGGAAGCAATAAGGTCAGACTTGGAGAAATTCAACCCTGCATTGCATTTGGTAAAGTTTCCAGTCACAGTGTCAAAAGATAGATCAGTCCCAAGGGAAACAACATCATTCCCAACCACGCCAGAGAAGTTGACGATGGGACTAGCAGTTAATCCAATACCAGTACTGATTCCAGCATACTCATGCAGGTACTGGAGTTCTACCTATTACCACAATCACTATAAGTAAGAATAAGCAACTAAGGGTGAGACTCCAAGTGTCCAACAGTAAATTATGTGCTTGTAAATGGAGCAAAAGGATTCAGATGAAGTAGCATGATCATACAGTGCATACAAGTGATTCACAAGCTAAAAACTTGGAAGACACTATAAAGAGCAAAATCTGATTACCTTGCCAGATCTCTGATCAGGAACAATAAAGCTAAAGATTGTCTTGAGTCCAGGTGCAGGTTCATCAATGGTAATGGTAGTGAGAACCTACACATTCACTTTAACTTGTGAGCTAAATGACCAAAGCATCATTACAATGAGTTTGATTACTGAATTCTTGAAGTATCCTCCTAGAAAGTAGAAATTAAAAAGGAAAGGCAGACTACACCGACACAACAAACCCTGTGGTTTCATCAACACATAAGCATAAATAAAGATATAACAACTAAACTTGGGTGACACTGAAAAAGCTCTCAAAGCAATGATGAAAATCATGGAAAGAAGAAAAAGACTAAATCTGGAATTTCACATGAAGCACATTTAAGACATCAACAATTAAAGATTTGAAATAATTTTGAGTTTTCATGTCATTATAGTAGGTTTTAGTAATTAAAAGTATAACGGTAATTCCAATAATTGTTGGAAATGGGTTGTAGGGGTCACCCATGGGTTTTATTTTGGGTCAAGTTATTAAATGGATTATTATATATGGGTTTTATTATGTCTAAAATAATCTTAGTGGTCAAAAGTCCAAATTTCCTATTTTGATATTAAAGTAGAATTAGAAGTCATTAAAGTTTCCTATTATGATTGAAGTAGAATTGGAACTCATAGTTGGTCTAGAACATTAGTAGTTGCTAAATATTTTTAGTTTCTAAATTTGAGAAAAAGTCCTTATAGAATTAGGAAAGTCTTTAACCTATAAATATATGTGTAATCTCAATGCTTCAACAGCAGAGTTAATATTATGAAAATCTGAAATTGTATGTGTGATTGGCCTATCCCTTGCGAGAATGAAGCACTTCTCTCTCTCTCTTCTTCTTCTTCTATCCAGCAAGGTTATTATTCACGTCACTGTTCACTGTGCTTAGAACAACCACCCAACTGTTCCTAAACACTTGTGTTTTCATTCCCAAAACCCTACCTTTTTACAAATCCTTAAACTCCTATTTTTAAATACTTCTGCAGCCACAAAATCCCACCAAATCCAGCCCTGTAAGTCTGTAGTTGCTGCTGCCAGTATATTTAAACCAGGCTCACTACTTGTAGGAAAGTAATCCCTACTCATCCTACATCACATAACGAAGGGCAATGTTTATCCAAATAATCAAACAAAGCCAACAATTTAAATGCATCTCAGGTGATGACCACCAGCTTTTCATTGCATAAAACTCACATCCAAAGCAAACTAGGTTTGATCACCAAACAGAAGGATACTTAGAATAAAAAAATGGAGTCAATGATACAATTTTAATCCAATATGTATAAACCATATCTTTATGAACAATTGTTTAAACAACTGACTAAATTATTCAAATTTTGAGGGACGCTACCATAAACTATATTATATTGCTAAAACCTAAGCTTTACATAAATTGTGTCTAGTGCCACCATGTAACAGATAAATTTGTGAGGATTGCAAAGACCAATAACTTGAAAACAATCACTCCAAGTCTCCAACAAATGCAGTTCTGACTCTGAGAATGATGAAAATATGTAGGAATCAAATTACTTGCACCACAGGCCCAATATACAGTAAAAACCAACATTAAATCCCAGGTAATATAACTCAAATAGTTGATATCAGTCAGGTAAAAAAAAAATTCTTTAAATCAACTAACTGAAACTGTTGAGTAAAGTTACATGACTTGTTTCATCAGAGTAAATAAAGTTCAAAGACGTACATTAGAGTTTGTGTCAACTTTTATGTCAGTTGTGATGTTCTTGTTCTTTAGTTGGGTAGTAACATCAGCCAAATACAACTCACCTTTCTTGGTTCCTGATGTGGTAATGGCCTGGATGTGGAAAAAAACAGAAAGATCAGAACATGTTGAATTCAAATAAATTAAATTCTGAGAGCAGCATAGGATTGTTGCCATGACACAACAAAATTAACATGTGAAACAAATATGACAAGGGAATAATTAGCATCATACTGAATATTCAGTAGCGTTTGGACGTGCATACAGAGGTTAATGGCACAAGACAGACTATAAACGTGAATACACACTCCCAACTGTAAATAACAGGTTAACCTATGTAATCAGGTTAAACCTCTTTCCAACAAGATGTGATTAGTGCTCCATTTAAAAGCAAACTTACCACAGCTATTAAAATGAGGGTGGAAGATCAAGATAGCATGCTTTGTTAAAAGTGGGCATTGTCATTTTTGTTTTTCATTTTCATGTTTCCCGAAGCAAAAATAATGAAAAATTAAGAAACACCCATCGTTTTCATTTTTTGTATTACAAATAGTTTTTGACCATTCAGAAAACAATAGAAAAGTAGTTCCTGTAAAATATTTTTTAGAAAATTTTCTTGAAAATAACATTCAGAAACAGTTCTTTTATTTTTCTGTTTTAATATTTTCAAGAAAAGAAAGCATAAAGATACCAAATGCAGCCAAAACATTTCGAAAATTTTCAAGCATCCATTTTTCATAATCAAAGGAGAAAATTTAATTTTACCCTCCAAACTATACCTCGATGATCAATTTAACCTTTGTACTTCCTATAATTTTAATTTTACATCTAAACTATTTGATTTTGGATCAATTTCACCCCTGTCGTTAGATTCCGTTTATAATCAAACGATAGTCGCTAATATGACACCAAAATTTTGTTGGAAATTTTATTTTACCCCCCCCAAACTATCTCAAAAATATCAATTAGAACCCCAAACTTTATATTGTTTAGGGGTCTAACTGATATGTTTGAGAATAGTTTGGAAAGTAAAATGAAATCTCAAATGAAGACGGCAGCATGTGCCATATAATTATAGACGGTAGCTGACGGCAGGGATGAAATTGATCCAAAATTGAATAGTCTAGGTGTGTAAAATTGAAATTATAAGAAATATAGTGGTTAAATTGATCATCAAGGTATAGTTTGGGGGCAAAATGAAATTTCCTCTAATCAAAGCCCCAGACTATGAAGAAAAAAAAACTCTGACTAGCTGAGGCCAAAAAAATTTGGGGGAATTACGGCCCAGTCGGCTTTTGAAAAAATATTTACAAATACATGGAAAAGTTTAAAGTTAACCACTGATGTAATTTTTTTATTTTATTTTATTTTATTTTATTTTATTTTTTATTTTTTATTTTCTAATAGTACACTGAATTGCTATTTCCCCATACAACTTATTCGAACCTGTTAACCTGAGTCTTCCATTTACTAAAGAAATCTATCTACAACAAAGCGTGAGACATCAACTCCATTTTCTTTGCAACCAAACAGAGTTAAATGACACGAAGAAACCGAAACCCTAACTTCATCAACAGGTTTAATTTACAGTTTGTGACACACAACACAACACAACACAACGCAACACACACACACATAGAGAGAGAGAGAGAGAGAGAGAGGAGAGAGAAACTAACGACTCCGGTGGAAGTGTAAGTGGTGACAGTGAACTTATGGTCGCTCTGGTAGTCCCTGTACAGAAGATCTGAAACAACAATAGCAGATAAGCATACACATATCATATGTGATTAAAAATCGAATAATAATAATAACAATAAATGAGAGAAATAAAAGGAGCGAAGCGATTGGAGACCTCTGGCTTTCTTGCCGATGTCGGAGTAGAGACCTGGACCTTTCCCCATCTCTGTTGCACCCAAATTAGGAGAGAGAGTAAAGAGAGATTAGACTGTTCTTGGTTGTTGTGGTTTAGGTAGAGAGAGAGAGAATCAGAATACGTGGAAGAAGATGCTGTGTGTTAATTTTGATAGAATCGTCTCAAAACCCTAGTCAATTTACCCGGGTGATTTTTTTTGGGTGAGGTAGAGCTATATTTTTTTCAAAAAAAAAATTGCAAATTTTGTATAATAAAAAAAAAATCGTTTTTTTAAAAATATCATTAAATTATTATTATTATTATTTTTTCAATTTTAGATGGCATGTGCTATCAACCAATATGTAGTATCGGAGGTAATATAACTCAAATAGTTGATATCAGTCAGGTAAAAATAAAATAAGTTAAAAAATTAATAAGATAAAATATCATATTTAAATTATAATTATTTTATTTTTTTATAAAAATTAAAAAAATTCATTTCAAACGAGACTTTTAAACCCAGACTAAAAAAGTCAAAAAATTAAAATGCCAACTCACTTTCCAAACGAAGACTTTGTATGTTGGTGGAGTAATTTAAACAAGGGCAAATTACATATACCTCCCTTGAAATTTAGCTAAATTACAGATGCCTCCCTGAGGTTTTGAAAATTACATCCCGCCCCCTGAGATTTGTATTTTCATAACAATTTGCCCCTGAGGTTTATATTTCATAACAAATTACCCCCTAATTTCTTATGCAAATATAGCATTCAGGGAGAAATTTGTAATTTCTCAAACCTCATGGGGTATTTGTAATTTAGTCAAACCTCGAGAGGGTATATGTAATTTGCCCTTTAAACAAAGGATTTGGTTTTTTGTTTTTCATGTTTTCGTATTTGAGGGGTCTGCAATGATTCAAATTATTCATTTTATAAAATTCTTAATGTATATCAATTATGAATTTTTTTTTTATCGATTTGATAATTGTAACCTTTTCATTTTATCATATTTGTCTCTAAAAATGAATAGTCTGTCTTTAAAAATATATTTATCGTTCATTTTTTCAAAAATAAATACGATAAAATGAAAAAAATTATAATTATCAAATCGAACTAATTTTTTCATGGATGACATACATTAATGACCTTACAAAATGAACAATTTAGATCATCGAAATTGAACTCGTGGTAGGTCTCATGGTCTCATGAAGTTCTCACGTGTTAAGATGTAAATATAAAAAGTCAAACATTTAAAGAAAACTACATCTTGTACGATGGGTTATCATTTGACATATTTGGAAATTGTTTGACATATGTTAAAATAACACATACGATTTTAGCATATTATCTTATTTGGGTTACAATCATATTATTTGGGTCATATCACTTCTCTACCACATTACTTCAATCTCAACTCATATACATTTTTTCGTAATAAAGTCAAAAAGTATACTGATCTAGTATTACCCAAACAACCTTTTGATATGTATTGGTAAGACTGTTTCTGTGAAAATCCATATTTAATTATTCTTATAAATGCATTATATGATATGAATAATAAATGTATTCTTATTCAAACTATTTAATTACATCCAGGACGGTCCCAAGTCGGCACAGAGGACTTCGGGCACCTCTATTTCCTCAATGTTTGGCCGGGGTAAGAATTCTATCATCAAAGGATTGGGAAAAGTTGTTTGCATGGATGCCAGGCTAGTAAGTTCGTCAGCAGCGTTGTTTTCCTCGCTGTTAATTTGTTCCATTCTTATTGCAGCGAACTTTTTGATTTCTATGCGTACAAGTGCCTGATATTTGGCCATACTTTCATCTCTAGCCTCATACTCCCCGGAGACCTGATTGACCACCAGCTTGGAGTCGCTAAATACCACAAGTTTCGACGCTTTCAGTCTTAATGCACTTTTCAATCCGCGCGAGAAGGGCATTATATGCCCCCTCATTGTTGGAGGCTGGGAAATCGAGTGTGATCGCATGCACAATGGTCAGCCCGTCGGGGGAAGTCAGCACGATCCCCAGCCCGGCACCATGTCAGTTAGAGGCCCCATCGACGAAGAGCTTCCACATCTCGCCAATGAACAACTTCCAGCAATAGGAGGGATTTTGCGAGCTCCTCAACTCCGGGGTACTGGTTGGTTCATTCTGGTCTCTCTCTATGTCCCGGTCGAGCTCGTGTTTTGGTAGGTTGTCCGATTCCTCCATTTCTTGTTCAGCTTTCTTTTGCCCTTTTGTCACTTGTTTTCCACCACTCGTCTCTACTGTCTGAGCCATAGGATGCGCCAAGTTCGCGCTAGCCAAATCAACAAGGCAAACAGGGTGTGTTTATAGGGCAAATTCTGCCACGAAGTCGGCAAGAGCTTGAGCTTTGATGGCGGTGCACGGTTGGAACTTGATATCGTATTGCTCTAATTCCACGATCCACTTCAGAATTCTACTAGTAAAATATGCCTTTTCAAAGAGCACCTTAAGTGGAAATTCGGTTAGCACAACTATTGTGTGGGTATGAAAATAGCGCGCTAGCTTTCTGGAAGCCATCATCAGGGCCAGAGCCAACTTTTCTAACGGCAGATACCTTGATTCAGCGGGGAGCATGGTCTTGCTTACATAGAAGATAGGGAGGTGTTGGGTACCTTCAGCACGGACGAGGACGGCCCTTACCGCGTGTTGAGAGACTGTAAAGTAGAGATACAGTTCTTTGCGTGGTTTCGGTGCGACCAAGATTGAAGCCGAAGAAAGGTACATTTTTAGATCCGCCAATGCGCGATCGCATTCATCATCCCAGAAGAACTTGGCCTTCAAAGTTTTGAAGAAAGGCTTGCAACGATCTGAAGACCGACTGATAAATCGGTTCAGCGCGGCTGCCATCCCGACGAGATGTTGCACGTCCTTCGTGGAGTTTGGGTGCTCCAGTTCTTATATCGCCTTGATCTATGAAGGGTCGGCTTCAATTCCTCGGTTCATGACCAAAAAACCTAGAAATTTTCTAGTGCCAACTCCGAAGGCACACTTGGAGGCGTTCAAACGCAACTTGTGATATTTAAGTATGGCAAACATCTTTGCTTGGTCGACGAGGTGTTGGGACCTTTCCTTGCTCTTTGCCACCATATCATCGATGTAAGCCTTCATAGTGCGGCCAAGAAGGGGAGCGAACATCTTGGTCACCAACCTTTAAAAAGTTGCCCCGACATTTTTTAGTCCGAATGGCATGACCTTGCAGCAGTATATGCCTCGCGGAGTAGTGAACGAAATGATCTTTCGGTCTGGTTCATACATGGCTATCTGGTGGTAGCCGCGATACGCATCCAAAAAGCTAAACCTTTGATGGCCAGCGGTCAGATTTACCAGCTGGTCGATTCTTAGGAGGGGGAAGCTGTCATTTAGGCACGCACAGTTGACCGTCTTATAATCAATGCACACCCTCCATTTACTATTCTTTTTTGGCACTACCATGGTGTTAGAGATTCATTTAGGGTATTGCACTTCTTCTATTGCCCCTGCTTCTAACAAGTTCTTGACCTCTTCCGCCACTATCTCGGCATGGTGCACGGCCGAGCGCCGTGTCCTCTGGATGACCGGCCGTACGTTTGGAAAGTTGTTTAACTGGTGGCAAATGAAGCTAGGGTCGACGCCAGGCATATCGTAAGGCGTCCATGTAAAGGCCTCCATGTTGGAAACTAAAAAGTCGACATACTCGAGCTGCTTGGCACTGGACTGAGATGAACCCAGAAGAAAGAACTTGCTTGGATCATTCTCGTCTACACGTACCTCCAGTAAGTCTTCGACCGATTTCTCCTTGGTCTTTCTTCCTACGTCTTCCAGAACTTCATTTCCCTCTGGACCCCCTATCATTTGCACAAAGCCTTTGGTAACTCTACTGCCATTTACTACGACGAAACATTGTTTTGGCATTACTTGGTCTCCCCAAACCTTTTCTACCTGTCTAGTTGGTGCCGGGAAGCGCAGGACCTGATGGTAGGTCGATGCTACTGCCTGCATGGCATGCAACCAGCCCCTGCCCAAAATTAAGTTGTAGGTTGAGGGAACCTTGAGCACCCAAAATTCCACTTGCTTCGTGACTGATCCCACTTTGACCGGCAATATGATCTTTCCGATCAGCCATTCTAGTTGAGAATTGAAGCCAACCAATGGAGACGTCGTGGGGGCCAAGTCTTTGTCCTCCAACTTCATCTGTTTGAACGCGTCATAATACATGATCCCAACCAAACTCCCATGGTCAACCAGAATTCTTTTGATGTCGAAGTCTTTGACGTGAAGGGTCACCACTATAATGTCATTATAAGGCACTTGAATTCTTTCCAAGTCTTTGCTTGAAAAGGTCAGGACGTCTCTTTCCTCGGTTTTCCCTTTCTTCACGGTGGGCTGAACGGAGAGCACTTCCCTCATGTGCTCGGCTTTCTTAATTATCCCTCTTAGCTCGCAAACCCTTGCCAGCTCGATGATGCTATGGATGACATTGATTACGCCCTACAGCACTACATCCAGGACGGCGAGGCCATTTGGCTAGCCTTGTCCTTGGGGAGCGGCTCTCATACCGCCGTCTATGTACTGGTCCAAATACCCTGCCGTTACTAGCTCCTCCAAATGTTGTTTGAGCGGCACATAGTCCTCCGTTCGGTGCCCTCATTCTTCATGAAAGGTGCAGCGATACCTCGAGTTGAAACCTCTTTGCGTGTTTCCCAACTTGGCCGGCCAACGGACGTAAGGTTCACCTTGGATTTCACTTAGGATGCGGTAAATCGGGATTTTAAAGATCGTGGTGATGCCGGTTCGTGCTTTCAACTTTCTTTTGGCATCTTCTTCTTCATCACGAGGAGCGTTAGCTCGGTCGTTCCTACGACCTTTGTTCCTATCATCGCGGTTTGAGCCACGACGTTGATCTTTTGACCAGTCATTTGGGCGATTGCCTTCCTGCTCTACCGAGTGAACCTTCCCTGCCACTCTTCTGTCCGCTGTGACTGGATTTGCCTTTTCGGTTGCGGTGGTGGCATCATCCTCCACTCGGATGTGTTCGTTGATCCGCTGCATCAAAGATTCCATGGTAGTGGGTTGGTGCATCGTAAGTGAATCTCGTAGCCTATGTCCGACTGGGAGACCCTGTTTGTACTGGGTGATCGCCAGATTGGTGGGGCAGTTGAGGATCTCATTGTAGGTTTCCCAGTACTTGGAATTATATGCCTTCAAAGAGCCTCTTGATTCCATCTTAATGCCCCAAAGATAGTCGACCTCCTTCGGTGTTCGAGTGTTGGTTTTGAATCTAGTGACGAAGGCCTCTGCGAGTTGTTTCCATCCCTTGATGCTCCCCTCTGGAAGCCTTTCGAACCATTTTAGGCCCAGTTCTCCCAGGCTTGCTGGGAATATGAGGCATATCAAGGCGTCATTGCGCCGGTGTCCAGCCATTACTTGCCGGTAATAACTCACGTACATGTATGGATCCGTCTTGCCGTCGTACAACGTGAACTTAGGCTGGTGGAATCCGGCAGGGAGCGGCGTGCTCTCAATTTCTGGGGACAACGGGGTAGCGGTAAGTCTTGCCAGCTCTCTGTCTCCTGGTGCTATCGCTCTAGACGCGGGCATTGCCACTTCCTCACTACAACAGATCTAGGGCCTCAGCCTTTGCAATGCCGACAGCCTTCGGATCTTTCTATAGTGAGTCCTCTCTTCCAACACATCCCTCAGGTCTCCTGAACGGACGGAGAATGAGTATCTCGACGTCATCGAGGGGCGTGAAGGACGGTAGCTGTTGTCGCGAGTGTAAGATCTTTCCAACTGTGGGTCGGAGTCCCCTACCCCATAGCTTATGGTGATAGAGAGAAAGGACATTTTGTCTTGGCGGCAACTGCTAGAGCGAGGGGGCAGGGTGCGCTCACCGAGGTTGTCCTCTCCAGCAGCACCCCTTCCCTTCATCTGGTGCTTCAATATCTCCATTTAAGCTGCCATCTTGCGAATGAGAGCGTCTTGGTCTTTTAGTTTGTGCTCCAGGTGCCGAGCATGTGACCCTCCCCATCGACGGCGGCCCTCTGGACTCTTCGAGTGTTCATTGCTCCTTGCGCGTTTGTCGCGCACACCCCTAGAAGAGGTCTCCAAGCCCGCCATGGTAGGAATAACAGGAGGGTCATCTCTCCGTCGGACAGACTCCGGTGTGACACCGTCGACAACGAACAGTGGAGTTTCGTCATGGTTAGCCATGGAAACGATCGAAAAAGCTTGAGGAACAAGGTTTGTCTGTTAAAGTTTTTTCCACAGACAGCGCCAATTGTACGGGGGATAAAATATTCTCTGTTCTCTGTACTCCTTAAACTTTAGCTTTACGTAACCTCGCTTGGCTTGAAAATAGAAAGACAGTGAGTTGCCTGGCAGTGTGTTGCCGGATAAACCCTCCGACGATCAAGTCAGCACACTTGAAGAAGAAAGCACTTTTCAGAGAGAGAGAATTTAGAATTCGCTTGGTTGCTTACCTCCAACGTTCCCTCATTCCTCATTTTCTAGGCTGGCCACGCAGCCTTAGGGATTATGGGCGCACTATCTCTGTTGTCATTCCCCTGGACAGATGGTAGTGCTCCCCTCCTTACACGTGTAAAGGCCAAAACCTCCAAACAGTGTTTGCGGAACTGCCAAACGGTATTGGCGCGTGCCAATAATGGATTTTCCCTTCGTCACACCATTAGTTCAGGTGGCACACCCAATCGAGATGTCATGACCGACCTAACCCTTGGAAATAAACACCATTATGACCGGGACGACTGAACTACAATACGTCGGTCCATTTGAACTACCCGGCCGTGAGGCATGCCGTCCTTCATCCCGGTCCAAATTCATTTCGGGCTGCGCTTGGCCCGATCCAGACGCACCACTGCAGATCTAACTGAGTATCCAATTGAATCACGGCTCGGTTGGGTACATGCGTACCTCTGCATTCTGGTCGACGACATTGCTCGGCCAAACGTGATAGGCCGAGGGGTCGTGCCGATTCAGTTCGGTTAGAAACGGTCCGGTCCAAGTAGGGCCCATCATTATATCCCGCGATACCATAGCTCGGCGCAAATCTGTGAAAACCCATATTTAAATTATTCTTAAAAGAAAATAAATAAATTAATTAAATTATTAGTTTTTTTAAATTAACCAAATTCTATCGCTAACAAAGACCCTATTAAGAATAAAAATGTTGTGGATGTTCAATAATTATTGTAAAAATAATAATAATAATAAATAAATAAATAATAATATATATATATATATACAAACAGACAAACCGTGGGCAAATAACCCACAGTTCCTACCAAACCCACCATCTCTTAGAAATTAGGAAACCATAAAATTTAGGGAAAGCTTATTCTTAGAACTTGGAGAAAGGTAATGGCAGAGAGAGAGAGAGAGAGAGAGAGAGAGCTAGCCTCGGAGGTCTATATAATGCACATAATAGTCATGCATAGAAGGGTAGGTTTCAGTGATTGCATGCATGTATTCCTTTTGACGGGTGAGGAAGAAATATGGAAGAAGAATTCAGCAGAAGGAGAAGAAGAAAAGAAGGTTTAGGAAGCAAATTCTTCTATTATTTCATCACCCATTTCAATCCTACTACTAGGTAAGAAGACCCTCTCAATCCTCTCATTTTTTTTACATAATTGAAATTTTCAGATTATGTACATATGATACATTGTTGCAAAACAGTCAAAAGTGCTAGATAGGTGAAAATCACGCTCGATTGGGCGCTCGACACCCGCTCGAGCATGAGACACAATGTCCCACTCGAGCGTCAATTATTCCGCTCGAACGGACTTCAAAACAGAACAAAATGCTGGGAGCAAGATTTCCACGCTCGAGCACCAGTCACCCGGTCGAGCGTGAGTCCAAATTCTGAAAATTTCAGATTTGAACCTCAAGCTCAAAACCAAGTTTTTAAACCATAAATTCGATCCTCTTGGGCCAATTTTTGAGAAAACACATCAAAACTCATACTTTAACATGATTCAAAGCTCAATTTGTAAAATCAAAGCCCAAGGGTGTTTCAAATAAACTCAATTTGAAACCAATTTTCATGAACAATGTTTCAAACATGACATGCATGAGTTTAACTCAATTCAAAGCTTCAATTTCATGCTCTAGTGAGCCAATTCTTCCAAGGACAAGATGAAACCATGGACTTAAACACAATATGAACATGCATGTAACATTTTACCATGAAATCAACTCACAACTCAACAATTCAAACATGCATGCATGGAGTGAGCTCCAATTCAACATTAATGAACCAATTCATGCCTTAACTCACTAAAGACCTAAGAATTATGCAAGAATAAGTTCAAATACACAATAAAGAAGGTCAATGATCTACTTTAGGTCTTCAATTACAAGAGTAGAAATTCAATTAAGCAAATCTCCTACAAATTCTCCAAGTCTCCAAGCTAGACTCTCACTTGAACTCAATTTCAAGAAAAGCAAGATGAATCACTCTTCTAGCTCACTCTCTCTCTCTCTCTAGTCGGCTGAGGCAAGGAATAAGGCTGATCAAATTTTTTGGCCAAGGGTGTAATAAGGCTAAAAAATGATTCAAATAGTGGGCTACTCATGTGGCGGAATGGTAATTAAGGCAAACTATTGCAATTAACTCATTTTAATCTACTTTAATCATACCTAATCAGTTTTCAGATAAATACACCATAAAATCACATAAATCACGATGATCATAAAACACTAATCGGTTTCCGGTTCGGCCGCCGATAAGGCCTTTAATTCGCAATTTAACCATAAAAATATGAACAGATAGTCAAACAGTCAAACAGATAGAAACGCATTTAAACAGATACAGTTAATCAATCAGTTTCAGATTTCAGTCAGTCAGTTCAGTAGTTTATTCAGTTCACTTATCAGTCATAATCAGTTTCAGTTTAACGGTAATCAGTGGTTATTCGGTAAACAGTGACGAGGGTTGTTACAGTCTCTCCTCCTTAAAAAGAGTTTAGTCCTCTAAACTCGAGTTACCTTCGCTCTAGAAGAAGACAGGATTCAGTGGAAACAGTTCAGGATATCTTTTAGTCATGTCATCTTCCCTCTCCCAAGTGGCATACACGTCACCGTGGTTTTGCCAGTCAACTTTCACTAACGGAATCTCTTTGTTTCTCAACTTCTTGATCCCTCTGTTTACAATCTGTATAGGCCGTTCCTCGTAAGTGTAGTTGTCACTCAGCACTACACGAGTCGGCTCTATTACATGGAAAGGATCCCGGAGGTAATCCCTCAACATAGAAATGTGGAAGACGTTGTGCATATGCTCCATTTCAGGAGGAAGCGCAACTTGATACGCCACCGGATTGATTTTCTCAATAATCTCATATGGTCCGACGTATCTCGGTGCTAACTTGCCATTGACTCCAAAACGAGTCTGGCCTTTTATCGGTGTTACTTTTACAAATACGTGATCACCCACTTCGTACTCTCTATCTCGTCTTCTGACATCAACATAACTTTTTTGTCTGCTCTGTGCGGTTTTCAGTCTCTATTGTATCAGTTTCACTTTCTCAGTTGTTTCGTATACAATCTCGGGCCCAAGCAAAGGCCCATCTCTAACTTCTGCCCAGCAAATCGGAGATCTACATTTTCTGCCATACAATGTCTCGAAAGGCGCCATACCAATACTTGAATGATAGCTGTTGTTGTAGGCGAATTCAGCCAATGGCAAATGGCTTTCCCAGTTTTCTTGAAAATTAAGGACACACATTCTCAGTAAATCCTCCAGAGTCTGGATGGTCTTTTCTGACTGGCCATCGGTCTGAGGATGATAAGCACTACTCAGTCTCAATTCAGTACCCAATGCAGTCTGTAAGCTTTGCCAAAATCTCGATGTAAACTTCGAATCCCTGTCAGAAACAATGGACACAGGCACTCCATGCAGTCTAACAATTTCATCAATATAGAGTATAGCCAATTTGTCCGCATTATAAATTGTCTTAACAGGTAAGAAGTGAGCAGATTCAGTCAGTCTATCAACAATAACCCAAATTGAGTCCATACCTTTACTGGAGAGAGACAATCCCACAATAAAATCCATGGTGATATGTTCCCATTTCCACTCCGGTATCGGTAAGGGCTGCAATAAGCCTGCGGGTCGTTGATGTTCGGCTTTAACTTGTTGGCAATGAAGACATTTCGATACAAAATCAGTAATTTCTTTCTTCATTCCCGGCCACCAGAAATTCAGTTTCAGGTCTTGGTACATTTTCGTATTCCTTGGATGGATAGAAAATTTTGAATTGTGGACCTCTTGCAGAACTCTTCTTTTCAATTCAGTATCATTCAGTACACACAGTCTTTCTTGAAATTTCAGTACATTACTTTCAAATTTGAAACCCGGTCTTGGTTTAGTTTCCTTTTCTTCGATGATCTTCTTCAAGAAGTCATCTAGTTGCTGTTTCTCTTTAATCTCTTCAATCAGTGCTGGTTGAGTAGAAATAGCAGCTAAGGTTCCACCTTGTTCTCGTAAAACAATTTCAATTTCAGATTTTTCAAGGTCACAAAGCAATTCTTTCTGCCCGGTGAGCAAACAGGCTAAATTTCCAATCGATTTCTAGCTCAGTGCA